CCGTTTGGAAGAACAGAATGGCCACAAACCATGAACCAAGATGTGTGATGTGAATCGCAGTTCCCAATGGAGTGGGGGAATAATAAAATGAAGGCATGAGCACATAAATCAAATAAATAAAAAAAGGATCTAGATCGATTCTAACATTTTATCACTATCATCATAGCAACAAGTCAATTGTTCTGCCAAAAAAAAAACAGCAATGACTGATGGATCCAAGAAGTCGAGTCATTAAAACAACATGAAAACAATCATAGGCCAGCATAAGAAGGATACAAGTTTAGAGAGCAGCCGCAAAGTCTCCAAATCTTCCAATATATTGCTCTGCTTGTTTGTAACAAGTAGCAAGTACAAAGATTCTATCGGCTGGTAAACATAGCGCACATTTTCTGTCTCAACATATGTATGTTGTTTGCCGGTGCCTACCAACTTAGGGAAAGCCGCAAGAAGACCCTCAATTCTTATACGAGACATATCCACAAACTGCCTAGAAACAAGCACTGCAAAATAAAAAATAGAAAATAAATATAGATAAAATTTTAACAACTCTAATGATATGCACCTTTGCAACAAATTAGTTACTAGCAAGTCAAATTAAGGCAAAAGAAAGTGATGTTAAAATAGCTCAGCGAAGAGTACAACTATTTATTTCCTTTTAATAACCCCCAGATACGGCATAACAAAACAGAAAATGAAAACCTGGATTATCTTTAATTCCTGTAACATACCCAAAGCCATCTCATTTCCCTCTCTCTTACTGCAAGAAACTCCATTGACTAAATTCATCACCAAGATTGTATGAGAGTCTTGTGAATCTCAATGAAATAGATAAACCACTGTAATTTTTTGGTTAAACCTTAGTGCACTAGTGCATGAGACACAGCTCAGACTGCCTTCAAGGGTGTATCAATTTCCTAATTCAATCAAGTGTCATTCTTATTTATTTCACCAATCAACAATTCCTACACTTCCACATGTGTACTTTATGTAGACAAAGGAAAGGCAAGAATTATTATTATCAACCAACAGAAACCCACAGAAACATAAGAAAAATGCACAGAACTCACCTTTCCCAGACTTGCTTATAATTGAAGAAGCGAGCACAACCTAAATTACAAATAGAGGGGAAAATGAGAAGAGATATTCCAAGAAAACAAAAAATTATTAGGGACAACATTCTTAAGTTGTGTATACACATTTAAACCACTCAATAAGGAAAACTCTTCGCATTTAACTGAAGAGAAACACAATGAATTACATGATTATAAACTCATACAATTAAACTGACTGAGCCTGAGAAATTAAACTGAAGAATATAAACTATTCTGGATCCAAGTTAAACTGACTGAGCCTCAGAAATTTATACTCGTATATTTATTTTGCTGTGGCATCTTCAGTCGAACTTGCATACAGAATAGTTTTTCATGTTGAGTGGTTAAAATGTATGAATAATACTAATATCAATAACCAAAACCAGATAATCATTACTCCACTGAGAACATCACTCAAAAATTAAATGGAAAACTAACAAAGGTCAGATTGTTACCATCTTGATTCACTTGGAGATTATTGACAGCCACCAACTGAAAGGCAGTTAAAAAAAATATTAGAGGAGCACCTTCAAAATGAAAGTCTCGTGAAATGTCACAAAACTAAGAATATCAGACAACCCAAAGTAATCAGAAGGATGGAGGAAGGCATAACGAAGCATCATGATCTTCCACCATTTTTGCATCACTCAAATCACACGTGAGCTTGATTATAAGAAAGAATAAAAATATCAACATGTGGGAAAACAGAACTCAGCACAAAGTGAGAGACTAAATGTGTGAACATTCGGAATCCGTGGCTCAACTGTATGCATCAAAGGCTCAAATCCACATTTGGTTTGCATGGGATCTAGTCACTCCACCATATAATTCTCTATATACAACCGAATTGGGAAGAGAACTTCATTTTACAATCTCAAGTCAGCAACAATTTTCACATAACAAACTAAATTTTCCCCAAATGCAATTAAACTGCAAGCTAAAATCAGATCCAACAAATTAAAACTTCATTTGAAATGTTATGTTCATGAACTCTAACGAATCTAAAGATATTTCAGATGGCATTACAAAACTGAAGAATTACTGAAATAAAATTCTCACTGAAACTGTATCTCATCAAAACAGGCAACAAGATGAAATCAAACTAAAAGATCTACCTTATAATCACCACAATCTCAAGCGACACCGAACAAAGCTTAAATCACCCACAACGATTGCATCCCGATAAAACCCAAGAAAATTGAAGAGATCAAAGACATTTTGAAAACCACAGATCTAGAATGCAAAACGATTTTTCTACTCAACCAAAGCCTAAATACAACATAACTATCAAACAGAATTCAAATAAAAAAATAGCAATAAAAAGGTCAAGCTGGTGAGATCTAAGCCCTTACCGTTAGAGAAGAAGAAGACGATGAGGTGGAGGAAGAGGAGAAAGCGAAGAAAATAAATTTATTTTATAAAGAGAAGAGAAGAGTGGGGCGCTTGTAGAGGAGACGAAGCTAATGAAATAGCAGTTTGGATCCGTCTTGCGGAGTGATGTAATACGGCCTAACCAGAATGAACACCGTGGCAACAAAACGTTTTTATTAAAAATATATATATATATACAAGCTAAATTATGGAGAGGGTATTCGAACTCGTTACATAATATCCTTTCTAGCCAACTTAATTAAGTCCGTATCTGCCAAAACATTTAAAATACTTCAACAATACATTACACATTTCACATTTATTTATTTTCTTTTCAATAATTTGGTGTATCGGATTGAATCTCTCATTCTAAAATCAACCGTATTAAATTGAACGACGAATTTACTTATGAGATCCAACCGAATCCAATCTAGTTGGATTTTATGAGAATTATTTCATAGTTCAATATTGTTTTTCTCCATTACTAAAACAGGTCGACCAGTACAAATTGGATTGGATCCTAAACTACAATGGAATGGATTTGAATTGGATCAATTCGTTTTATTGAAATAGACAGTTTGAATTGGTCGATTTCAATTATATGGCAGCACTTTTCTAAAATATTATTATATATTGTTTTCAAGCTGAAAAATAATCCAAAACACCTTTGTTTTGGTCATTGAGCTTTAAAATTCCAATGAACAATACAAGTTATAATAATTCAATTTTAACCCAACCTAAATGAACCCGAGACCAACAATTAGCAGCACAGCTTTTGTGGAAGAATGGGCAGAAAGTCAGGCCCAAGAACCCATCTTTGGGTTGAGAAGCTGGCTGAAGCCCAAACAAGAAGAGGCCTGAGCTGGGCCATTCCGAGGGCATCAACAACAACTAAAAAGAAAGCGGTACGAGCACTTTGAAAAAGATGCAGACGCAAAGCAAAACTATGGCCCAAATTGGACAGGTCGTGATGGGCAGTTCCATTTTACCTCTCTCGTCAACTCATCACGCCCCACCCCACCACCACTAGTCTACAGTCTACAGTCTACAGTCTACAGCCTACACACGGGATTGTCAGCGAGTTGTCTTTTTAACATCTCCAGTCATAATAAGTAAATGATAGTCTTGTAGTAATTATGAGATTATCAAATGGCGGGTGAGTGTTTTGTTTGTAAATTGTAATTAGTAGATTTTGCCAGAATGGATGCTGCTAGTCAAAGCACAGGAAAGTTCAAGATGACGGAGGATAACTCAACGTTGGGGCCCATTTTGACAACTGGCACAGTCTCAGCGTCGTCAAGGCAAGGGCCCACGAATTTGATGCATGCAAATAGCAAATTGCAATGCAATGGTATCGTATGGAACTTTTTAGAATGCCCCACATTTCCTTGTCTCTCTTTTTTCCACAAACAAATATAATTTGGGGTGTCCTTTCTTTTTCATTTCAGTCTTCGTCTGGTGGTAAGTTGTAGCAAATGACCAGCAACAAATGAAAAGAGAGAATCATGTTTGATTGGTTGTTGACTCCAACTCAAAATTCATATTCAACCTATTTAGGCCAATTCAATATATAAGCAAGCAACTAAGGACAAGGAAAGAATCATGTCGATTTAAACTTTGGGGATGTTATGGCAATTTCAACCATTTTGTACGTGAAAATTAAAGATAATAGATAATAGAATCTTATTATTTATCGTCTTTTCTTTCTTTTTAAAAGAAAAAAAATATCGTGAGAGGTCACTAATTCACTAAAAGGTGCTCAAATGTGTTAGATCTCGACACTTTTAGATGGAGTTTAAATGTGAAAATTTGGTATCTTTCTATGTTTCAACTTTGAATTCAGTTGTAGTACAATGGCATAATGTTATTCTCTACCATCTTTTCAATTTCATAGTTATGCCTTTCTTTAAACTATAATGGCATGCCACCGACTTATCTGATCTTGACAATTTAGAGATGTTGGTGTTTAAAAGCTGTGGTAAATCTCGACACTTTTAGAGGGAGCTTAAATATGCAAATTTGTGAGCCTTTTTCCATTTTAATCAATACGTAAAAGTAATAAATGAGATGAGAAGTTTCTTAAAAATTAATTCGAATGTCATGGTTTCAACAGTAGATTATTCTTCATAAAAACCTAATTAACCTTTGTTGCTTGTAAATAAAATACCACCCTACACGTGGCTCTGCACCCAACCACATCGGTTTTCAATTTCCAACTCAAACGAACTGTAGCAAATATGGAAATAGACCTTCGAGCGTCTTCTATGCCACAGTTTTTTTAAAAAATAAAAATGTCACGATTAAGTTGAGGTCCTTTCCAGAACTTTCCCGGAGCAGCCTCTTACCGTAGGATGAATTCACAAAGACACGTGTATGGAAAACAGCTCAAGGCCATCCCAGAAGATGTACTGCATTAACCTAAAATTCAGGCAAATTTAATTTCATTCCAATGCTTATATAAACCCCCTCCCACCCCAATACTAAAACCCAACAACATCATCATCCCTCGAGAGCAGTTTCAAAGCCATCGATCTCTGCCTCTCTCGCCATCTCCAGCTAGCTCTCTCTCTCTCTCTAGCTTTGCAAGGGTCAAGGCCTTCTTCCTCTATCAACCTCGTTCCCTTCTCCCTTGGACACGTCACTACCACACAATGGCTCCAGTACTCGTCCCCACCAGCGTCGCTAAGTCGGGTTTCACCATACCCGCCACCCTGCCGAGCCGAGCATACGTAACCTTTTTGGCCGGCAACGGCGACTACGTGAAAGGCGTCGTCGGATTGGCCAAGGGATTGAGGAAGGTCAAAACGGCGTACCCATTGGTCGTTGCGGTCTTGCCCGACGTCCCTCAAGAGCACCGTCGTATTCTGGAGTCGCAGGGTTGCATAGTCGGAGAGATCGAACCCGTTTGCCCGCCCGAGAACCAGACCCGGTTCGCCATGGCCTATTACGTAATCAACTATTCCAAGCTCCGAATTTGGGAGGTACGTTCTTTAGCTTGCTTACGTGGCCATGCCATATAATTATGTGCTCTTTTAGTTACACGTGTAATTTGCGCTGCTCTAGTTCTTACACGTGGCAGGTACGTAGGCGACATAAAAAACTTATTTCTTTAAACATTAGATTGATTATTTCATTTCTTTTGTGAACATAATATTTGGTTAATCTCTTGCACCCAAGTTCAAATGCCTAATTTAAATTATCGCTTGTATAATAAAACATCTCTTATAGTTTGTGTGGATTTGTAAGATTATGTTGATAAGTATATACTAATGTTTTTTTGTATTAAATTTGCAGTTTGTGGAGTATAGCAAGATGATATACTTGGACGGGGACATTCAGGTGTACGACAATATAGACCACCTGTTTGATCTGCCAGACGGCCACTTCTACGCAGTGATGGATTGCTTTTGCGAGAAAACATGGAGTCACACGCCGCAGTACAAGATCGGGTACTGCCAGCAGTGCCCGGAGAAGGTGCAGTGGCCCACATCGGAGCTGGGACCACCACCCTCACTTTACTTCAACGCCGGCATGTTTGTGTTCGAGCCCGACCTCGAAACCTACCATGACCTCTTGAACACTCTCAAAGTGACTCCTCCCACCCCATTTGCGGAGCAGGACTATCTGAACATGTTCTTTAGGAAAATCTACAAGCCAATTCCTTTGGCTTACAATTTGGTCCTCGCAATGTTGTGGCGACACCCGGAGAATGTGGAGCTTGACAAAGTGAAAGTGGTGCATTATTGTGCAGCAGTAAGTCTTATAATTCAAATATCAATTAAAGGGTTTGATTAATTTCCGAAAATGATTGAACGATTGATTGAATATTAATTGTTGCACTGCAGGGATCAAAGCCGTGGAGGTACACAGGCAAGGAGGAGAACATGGAGAGGGAGGACATAAAGATGTTGGTGAAGAAATGGTGGGACATATACAACGACACGTCGTTGGATTACAAGAAACCATCGGCACCAGGAGCAAGAGCAGCTGTTGTGGGCGGTGCTGAAGGTGAAGGGGTGAACATGCAGCCCTTCATTGAGGCTCTGTCGGAAGCTGGTGTGGTGCAATATGTGACTGCCCCATCAGCCGCTTAAGAAGGGTAGACGTGGAGTGAGTGAAAATATTTAGATTCCTTTGTTATGTTTCTTTTTCCATGGCTGTTAATGAACTGGATGGAATCAAATGCTTGGGGTCGGGGAAAAGCAGGTTTTGATGTTTTTGCTTTGTTTCATCTTCTTTTGTTTCTGGTTGGACCTGCGAGGAGATGCGGGTTGCTGTGTTCTGTTGATATATCTTGTACCATATACATAATAATGTAATTTTTATGAAGCGAGTCTGGATTTCTATTTTCAGTTTATCACTTGCCCAGCTATCTATTTCCATATTACATTTTTTTCTTCAATCTGAGATGAGAGTAAATTGAAAACAATTGAGATTTGAATTTTGAACGAGTGAGAGAATGAGGGCAGGATCATCTTCTATAATCTCCAGCAAAGTAAAGAATAAACGAAGAAATGGTAGTAAAATAAATGGCAGCTATTTCATTACACAAACAATCGGGGGAACAATGCTATTGAGTTAATACCGTGAGAAAAATTGACAACTTACGAATTATTCTTAAGACTACAGGTAAAAAAAGGCACTGTTTGCAAAAGAAAACACAAAGACGGTAAAATAGGGTACTTAAAACGGTAGCAAATGCAGAGCACCAAGGATCAATGTCCAACTTCGTCACCGCACAAAATTCAAGCCAAGCCATCTATGCCTGCAATTCAACACAAGGAACCCAAAGTCAGGGAAAGGAAACCAATATCAACAATGGAGTTTCTCAAAATGTATGAGTATGTGTCCACCTTGTTTGCAATATTGTTTGAAAGCCAGTCAAGTCCCTCGTACAGTCCTTCACCAGATGTGGCACATGTACTCTGGATATACCTGCAATGGATAATTTACAAGGTTAGTTATCCATAGAGGGAGCTGCGTATGTGCGTGTGTATGAGAGAGAAAAATAAACATATTCGGGTTTACCAGTGGCGTTGACGGAGGGAGTGAAGGCCAAGCTTATCAGTAATTTCAGCAGCATTCATGGCATTTGGAAGATCTTGCTTATTTGCAAATACAAGCAGGACAGCCTCCCTCAACTCATCCTGCCAACACAAGAAAAACTTAGCTATTAAAAAAAGGATCCTATATAGCAACAGAGGTGCACAAGATTTCATCCCGCTCTTTAGCATTGAGATAAGAAGTTCGAAAGACTATTAATACCTCATTCAACATCCTGTGCAGCTCATCCCTGGCTTCAACAACACGGTCACGATCATTACTATCAACCACAAAGATAAGTCCTTGTGTGTTTTGGAAGTAATGCCTCCACAAAGGTCGGATCTGAAAAATACATTAAATGCAATCACAAACAAGATAAAACGAAAAGCCAACAGCTTTATAACATTCAACGGATAATGAAAAAGTAGCAATACAACATGTGACTTGTAAGCCACATATTGGGCACTGCCTCTATTCAAATCAGCACCAAACAATCCACGGGCAAAAGTATTTTACTCAGGCATCACCAAGTATATACATTACACATTCAAATACAGCAAACTATGGAGGACCCATGTTTGTCTCAAGGCTACTAGCAAGCGCATCAAACCAAAAGCAATAGACAGTCCACAAACAAAACCTTGCCCAAAAGGAATAAACCATGTCTCCTTCAAGGTTTGTCCTTGATTACACAAAATCAACTAAATCGGGTGCAATAATCAAAATTTACAAAAGGCAGGTAAGATTTTTTTAAAATTTTTTAAAAAGAGTAAACAGAAAACAAAGACGATACCTTGTCCTGACCCCCAACATCCCAGACAGTAAAGCTGATGTTCTTGTATTCCACAGTCTCCACATTGAATCCTAACCAGATAGAATTAACATAATTGAAAGCAAATTAATAACTAATAATAAGTGAAAAAGAAATAGATCAGGAGCGGAATTCAATGGAATGGATTAAGGTAGAGATGGGTATGTACGAACCAATGGTGGGAATGGTGGTGACGATCTCGCCGAGCTTGAGCTTGTAGAGAATGGTGGTCTTACCAGCCGCATCGAGACCCACCATCAGAATACGCATCTCCTTCTTGGCAAAGAGCCGACTGAAAAGCTTCGTGAAAGACAGCCCCATTTTTCACCTTCAAATTTTCAAAACCAACCCAAATTATCCATCAATCAGCAATCACAGACGATCTTATAACAACAATGACTAAATCTGGTCAATTTCATAATGATTTTGGGAAAACAAAGAGATCGGATGTCAAAAAGTCAGAAAATTCGAGATCGGAAATCAAAAAGCAATTCACGATGCAGATCTGAGAAGAGGAAGAAGGAAGGGTAGAGTAGGTTACCTGAGGAAGAGCGCGACCGTGAAGCAACAAATAGATCTACGCTTCTCTTTCTCTTTCTGTCTGTGTATATGTGTGTGTCTAAGAAGAGGAAGAGGAAGAGGAGCTGTCCTTCACACCGATACGCTCGCTACGATTCACACTATCTGTATTTATAGATCAGGGAGAGCGATACAAAAAATAAAATGAATAAGAATACACCTCACCGACCGAATCCCATTTATACTTTTTTTTTTTCTTTTTTTTTTCTTTTTAAATATTTAAAAATAAAATAAAATTGTTAAGAACAATACAAAATGCTTTTTAACCAGTTGTTTGTTATCGTTGGTTTGATTCGTTGTTAGCCTCCAAACAACGGTTAGCTTACAACTTCCATGATATATGAACCGGGAACAAGGATATTAATAATTTTGAAATAGGTTATTAATTTTCTGCCTTGCAATTTCATTGCGGATTAGCCAAAAATTTACCGAGTTTCTACTTTTACCATCTATTCCTATCACTTTCGTATTTCCGTTAGTGTACTTGTTAAGCCATGACATGGTAGGACTTTGGCTATCATTTTCCAAAAACCTAACCTTAGCAGCATGATTGTTCATCTTGTCATTTCTTCCATTTGAATCTTACTTTGTCTAGTTCTATGTCACTCTCGTCTGGGACATGTCTCTATTTCTAGATTGAACTATTTTAGTTTCTACTATCTTACAAATATTCTTGTTATCGTTGGATTTATCCGATGAAACGTCGTTATGATTTCTTCGCTATCTTTCTAACATTTTCGTGCACTTGTCCGCACACTGCTTTCCTCTAAGATTAAATGTGACTTTCAACAAACGCATTGCATCATTTCGACCAAAAAAGAAAAGAACAAACAGAAATGCATTGCATCATCGGTTGGGTAAAAAGTAAAAGAAGATTCCATAGAAATAGAGCAGTGTATCTACCGAACTTCAAAAGAAAACAGAGGAATTACTCAACTCATGTATGTATTCACTAGGAAGTGGAACTGTTAAAAAGTAAACTGATTAGAAATTAGACCAACTAGGCACAATTTAAAAGTTCACTTCACACGTTAGAAAGAGCGTTTGAAATTTCCGGGACTCAAATGAGATGCATTGCAAAATAATGTATCCATTATTTTTGTTTAACATTCTTCTTCATTGCTACATTCGAGTTTCCCCATAAGCTGACTACTTTAATTTCAAAAATAATGGGGGAAATAACTACCAAATTATTTTCTACCGGTTACCTTCTTAAAAGTGAGAAGCTACATGACTAGTATTACACCTTATTTTTGTCTTATATCATCACATAACACTAGCAAAATAAAAGCACCAGACTTTTAAGATCTAATGGACATGGGAGATTGGACGGGGGTTGATTTGAGTAGAGCTCATAAAGTGGCGTATCTCACTCAGTTGAACCCAAACGGATAATGCAGCTCAAGCAGCAGCAGATGACTGGTCAGACCACCCACCTGTCATCTTCTCCGCCCTCTCTCCACGCTCCCCTGAAAATTACATACACATGAAACTTTAGGCAAATTCTAAAGAGCAATCATCAATTCCAATGGCCATACAAACATCAGCATAAATCATCTTAAACTTAGATCAGTTTTTTTCATTTTTGGTGTGTGCGAAATAAACTTAGATCAGTTGACAAGTAAAATGTTACCGGTGCGAATTCTTATTACATCTGAGACTGGCACCACTGCACAAGATAGGAAACCTCATTAGAAATTTGACAAAAAATTGAATCTGCATAATATTCAATAGAGAGGCCAAAAATGATATGTCATGTAACTAGCAGAGTGATTGCAGAATACACAGTACAAAGATTTTTGACAGATGATCAGCCTTGTCCAAACTGCTACATTTCCTAACAACCCGTCTTTGAAGTACAATTTCACAAGCATTGAACTTTTTGATGACTAGTATCTCAAATTACAGACATGATAAAATGTAATTTATTGAATCTGATTGCCCCTAAAGCTGGAGGGACATGTATCTTTTTGAGACCATCCATTGGTAACAAAATAGAAAGACGCAAATCCATCGAAGAAAACTGTATAGTAAAAAGAAAAATTGTGTCTGAAAACAAAGTAATTTATATAGTTCAGATGTACATCATTTTAAAAATAAAATAATTATTATAAATATGATAAACCATGCCCTGATCATGTTAAAGCAACATATCTTAGAATTTTGATATTCCTCTTCAAGGAACAATAGAACAAGGCCTTAACCGAGGGAGAAAAGACAAGGCTGCAAGTACACTACATTTTTTAAAATTTTCTTTGACCTGCTTAGCTGCTTACTGTATCTTTGTAGCTTCAAAATGGACAATTCACAACAAATAAAGACGTTTTCAGTCTTACCAAAAATCTTGCCATCACCAATTTCTCCAGTCCTGGCTGCCTCAATGATCTTGTCTACTACTGCTTCAACCTAAGAAGTAATGACATGCAGGATTGTATCAGTGATTTTTAACAATGAGCATTTATTTTTTCTCCTCTTCCCTGAGATCAAGATGGCAAATTATGTCACATTTTCAAGAAGAATTCGTCGTACAACTAAAATGATCACTCATTCTCTTCATACCTGGTCTTTGCTCACTACAATCTCCATTTTAACCTTAGCGACAAAATTGTCTTCAGTAAATTCGGAGCCTTACAAAGCAATGCAAAATAAAAATGAAGACAATTATGAAATGATAATACAAACCAAAAAGTAGGAGGATAAATAAGCAACAGAACGGGTAGGGACAGTTATCAAAACCTCTGGTAGATTTAATTAAAATGAAGGGAAAAAGATCTATGTCAAGGCAAGAACATACCACCATGCCTCTCTGTTGAACCACCTTGAGCACCAAAGCCTCGAACATCAGATACTGTAACCCCGCGAATACCAATTTTCAACAGAGCCTTTGTTTTTCACCGAGGAGATGGCAAAGAAGAAAAAGGTTAATGCTTATGCTATGTTCTCAAGGACCTTCAAAAATATTACACATGAAAAGATTGATAACTAGAGAAACACGTATATCATACACTTTCTAACACCATCACTGTGCATTAGTAGAGAATTGAGAACATGCGTCCAAAAAGGATGGTTAAGACGAGAGGGTACCATTCTTTTCCTACTATAGACTGTAGCCCTAACATTCTAACTCCAAAAAAAAAAAAAAAAAAAAAAACATCATCCACAGGAAACATCTTAATTCTGCGATTTCTCTTGATCAACTTGCTTCTACGTTTCTTTTGGTATACCAAATGGCATTGCTTACTGCACCACAGACAACACACTAGCATGGCGGCATCCTAGGGATGCCTCATGTCTGTAATGGATTGAAAGATGAAGCGGCGCAGAGATGCTGAGAATAGCATGTTTATTAGAAGACCAATGCTATTGTGCCTTGACTATGAACAAGGTAATGAATACAGAAAGGAGTAGAAAACTTGGTCAGCAAGTTCCTGGCAAGGACTGAGTGATATTGCCATATTGGGGACGATATTTAAGACTTTATCAGGCACAAAATAACTTCATCAACACTGCCTACCAATAATCTTCAATTTTAAGACGTTCATCCGGAAATCAATTTGATTGTGTAAAGGATTAAAGCCAATCCTTGAAGGATACGGTGGGTATTGTGCTTGAGATAACTACACAGGGGCAAAGCCACAGAGCTATCTATCATCTTGTCAAAAAAAAATTTGATACCTAAATTCATATTTTTCCTGATTTCATTATCCTAATGAAAAAAGCAATGCGAACTAAAAATGCAGTAAACTGTGGTCAATAGTTCTTACCGAAGAAACCTGCGAAACTCGCCATGGCCTATTTCGTCCCATAATCAGAACAAAGATTAAGAAATAATTAGAAATAATCAAAACCCATAAGCTGAAACGTTGTATGCAATTAGGAAAAAGAAAAAAAAGATCACAACAGACATGCAGAGCTATAGATAATCAATACAAACAAAAACATAAATGAATGAGACAAGCTGGACCTAAGAACCAACAATGTATAGAAGGAAAGAAGATTGAGTGGTTTCTGCACCTCAGAATCGCTTCCACTTTGTAAAATTTGGAGTCTGGTACATAATCTACGAGCAACCAACAATAGAGACCATGAAAATTCAAAATCCAAAACACCCAAAACAAAATCTGAAATGACATTCAAACCCCATGAATGATTTTGCCAGAAAAGTTCGTAGAAAAACGAACCAGGAGAACTCTGGGCTCTTATCACAGGAAGAACGGACGCATTTCTTGCGTGCTTTAGAGTGACATTGAAGTGAGAGAACCGAAATTCTCTGAGCTTGGTGCGGATCGAGCTCGAATCTATAAGAGGAAGCTCATTGAGGTGGGAACGGAGGGGGTTAAGCAGGCCTGGTTTCGCCATTGCAGCCATGTTTACTGACTACTGAGCCAGTGAGCCTCTCCGTCTCAGTTGTTGTCAGTTGACGTCGTTGTGGTCGCTTGGAAAGTTTTAAGCTTTAAAAGTTAAAACGACGCGTGGTAGATTCTTCATGCAATTGCTTTCACATGGGCTCTAGCTAAGCCCATATATAGCTCAATTGGGTCCAAGCTGAAGATGGGCCGAAGGGAAAGGAGATGGTGATTTGATATGTCTGTCTGTTGCATCATTTCTTTACCTTGGACAAGACCGTCTTCCAGTCTCCAGTTTAGGAAGAATGGCTGCACGTGAGGATGAATATGTGTACAGAATCAGCACAGCCAAGGAGTGGGAACAGTTGCAGAGCTCTGGGTCTAGTTTCTGTGGAGAGCTTGACAAGACCTCTGGGTTCATTCATCTTAGCAAACTCAATCAGGTTTCTCTCCCCAAATTCTAATATTTTATATCCCAATTCTTCACTTTCTCAGGTTTAAGTACAGGATTAACGCTATGGGGCTCTTTTTCTTTTCTCTCAAAATTCCTACCTTGTAAAATTCTCAAGTTATATGCACCCACCCAGTACCCAATCTGATTATGTTTACTCTTTGCATCGCTGAAAGATTGTGTGTATTGGAGTCGTTTTATTTTCTCTCTGTTTCTCAAAATCTTATGATTAAGCATATTGAACCTTATTTGTCCAAGAATTAGTCTAAATGAGAGAAATTTTGGGTGCTTGGTTTACATTTCAGGTACAGTTGACATTGCAGAATTTTTTCCTGAATACTAAGGTGGATCTTTACTTGCTTCAAGTTGACACCAAAAAGGTACATATGATATGAGCATCCATCCATTATGACTTTTAACTTCAATTTCTGTAGTTAGAAATGGGCTATGCCTACAACTAGATATTGTCGTGTAAAAACAATTGTTGTCAAACCACTTAGGAGCTAGGATTTCAAAATTTGACAGATGATGGGAACCAGTTAATCCCATTTGCCTACAAGTAATTATCACCCTATTATGTTCGAAGCGTAGATAATTACTCAACATTCAGAAGACTTTCATTGAAATAAGTAATTGTTTCAGTGCACAATGAAGTTTATTTCATGCATGCTTTAATTTTATGGAACCTAATCTTGCAACTGCGGGCGGTTCCAAGCTTCTTACCTATTTTTGAAATAAGAAGTTATGGAATCTCATACCACTTAGCTGCAGATTAAAAGATAGGAATCTTGTCATATGGCTAACTGTATCTTCTTCAAAATTTGTCTTCCTTCCTGTGTTTAAGGTTTCAAATGATTTCCCAGTCTTGTTTGAGATAAATTTGCTCTAAATTGATATGCGTTGACACAGCTGGGCGAAGGATTAATATATGAAGTTGTTGATGGTTCCAATAGCTTCCCTCATTTCTACGGTCCATCTGGAAGTTTCAGCCCCCTTCCTCTTGACGCTGTTACAAAAGCAGAGAAGCTGTCTCTGTCAGATGGCCGATTCAGTTGTAGTATGCTGGAATCAGCCGCTTAAGCTCTGATTTGGTTTTCTTTCATCCCAACTGCTGCATTGTTATGTTATGGAGACATTAAAAAAAACTCGCGGATCAAACCGCAAACTTGCTAATCATACCACATTCTGTAAAAGGAAAACTTGGAACGTTTAATTTAATTTTTTTCTTATTCATAATCGCACATACATGATACAAGATTATATATTAGGGGTTTTAGTGAATCTAATTAACGAACTTGAAGCAGAAATGAGTACTATCTTCTTCTTCCTCTGCCTATTACTCTTGTGATCATCTTATGTTTCTCAGCACTTACCCGTGTTGATTGTGAGTGCATAAAAAAGCCGGTCATATTTAACTTTGGTGATTACAATTCCGATATAGGTGGTTTTTTCAATGGACTTGGAATTAATTTTGGACCTCCTAATAGACGTATTTTCTACCATCATCATTACCACCACTACCACCACCATGAGCATCGCGAGCAGCAGGCAGATTATGTGACGGACGATTAATAATTGATTTTCTCGCAAAATTTTGGCTTTTATTTTATTGTAGTTATGACAATGTTTGCCGGAGAGATTTGTTTGCTCATTGATTTGGTTTAATTACTTGATTAACAGGTGAAAGTTTGCAAACCCCCATATCTTGAATCTTTGGGGCCAAATTTCACAAACGGAGCTAACTTTGCAATCAGTGGTTCATCCACTCTTCCGAGACATCTGCCCTTTAGTTTGGACGTTCAAGTTCTCCAATTCCTGCGTTTCCGAGCTCGATCGCTTCACCTAATATTAAAATGTACATATATATAATTGATTGATTTTCGAACATGCATGTCATTTTTATTTTCAACTTTATTTGTTTAATTTCTCCTTTCATAACATTTGATCAATAATATTAGAGTATATACCAACATGGTGGTAAATATTTTTGGGTGCACAATACTGGACCGCTGGGTTGCTTACCCCAAAAGCTTGCCGGAACTGCCCCAAACGCCGGAAATGTTGATAACCATGGCTGCCTCAAGTTTCTCAATGACGCTGCAAAAGCATTTAACAAGCAATTGCATATTCTGTGTGAAGAGCTGAGATCACAAATGAGGGGGGCTATTATTGTGTACGTGGATATGTATGCCATCAAATACGACCTCATAGCCAATTCAGCTAAATATGGTACAAGTACAATTTCAATATTACGTGCGGCCAACCTGGTTCCAACGTTTGAAGCCGAGGATCAAAGTTCATAAGCTGGGATGGAGTTCAACCTGTCTACTAATTATTCCACTCCTCCAATAAAGTTGGACTATTTTTTATCATAAGCTGGGATGGAGTTCACCCTGTCTACTAATTATTCCACTCCTCCAATAAAGTTGGACTATTTTTGCAATGGCGAAACAATATGTGTTTCACAGATGTACCTTTCTCTAGTTTGAGCCTATACTTCAAACACTTACATTGATGGAAACATGTGTAAACTGGGAAAGGTTTACTTGTACTCTTGAATCTTATAGTTAGGTTTGTTCTTTTTTTGGTTGCTACTTGTACCTAGGTTTTATTCCACTTTAATCTCAATAGTTAAATTTTTTTTAAAAAATTACTGTTATAGTTTCCTAATTTTTTTCTACATTATTGTTCAAATTTTCATTTTTGTCACAAGACATAATTGATGTTACAAAACAGTTAGGCATGGAAATGGTATGGTTTTGAGGGTACTTGACTACAGATTTAAGCATGAAACTCTCATAATTTTTTATTCCTTAGGTGTAAGTAAACACATGATTTGGAATCATCCGAATCATTATAATACCCATGTGTTAGTAAGCACAACGGAAGAATGAATTTGAATAATTTGGAAATCCATGATTGATACGTGAACATGACGGGTCTTATGATCTTTGTCTAGTGGCTTTTTTTTATTATTAGTTAATCTCTTTAAATTTTGGGGTGGCCAGATTCTGGTGTAGGTTTGAGGCTCATTCATGGCTGGCTATAATACGACGGGTCTCCACAATAATGAGTATATTAAAAGCAAAGTTGTGGCCAGCCTGGTTTTCAATTTGCAAGAGAAACGCATTACCATTGAATTAGCAACCTACCAGAAACGTGACCATTTTTGGCAGGGCAACATAAGCAAGATGTTACTTTGTCTTAATCTTGGGTCACACTCACACATGATGTTGTTCCTTTGCATTCCGACAGACTTGCCATCTATAAAGTAATGCCAATACAAAAATGTGTTTATATAATTTTACAAAATAATATAGGGCCTTGGCTAGGGTTGATGTGAAATCGTACGCGTATTTGGGTATCTATAATGATTTTCTGGCAGTGAATGGTGTATGTAAGATTAAGATTGAAAATGATGTAACCGGCTTTATTGACACATGGTTTTGTCTTTGCCTCACAATTCCTCAATGAGCAAAACATTGATTAAAGTCTTGTGCTAAGACAAAATCATTTGAATGCGACGCAAGTGCAAAAGTTCGAGTTTCGGTGTGTGCCTCGAACAAATTTGTTCACATCTCTGAGAAATCGTGGGCGCATTATGGTGAGCAAATTGGGTTTGGTTACTTTAATCATGATAATGATCTTCAAGTGTAGAAACCACCCATAAAATTTGAAGATTCAAATGAACGGGAAGACTTGGAGAGAAAAAAACCAAAGATATTTTGTGCTAGTCTTTTCATTGTGGAAGAGTCATGAAGATGTGAGAAATCTTTATCAATACCAACTCATTTAAGAGGGAAAAAAACAAAACAGAAAATATAGTGACTATATCATGGCGACGACAACATTTCACGGCGACTGTTTCTACATCACAAAATAAACTAACAATAAAAGGAGAGAAGGAGAAAAGAAGGGATGAAAGGAGAAGGGAGGAGGTAGGGAAGGAGGCTGCCAACTTTTTTTCTTAGAGACTTGAGTTTTTAAATATTGTTTTTTCAAATATATAAGGTTAAAAATAACATATAATGAATGATTTCATTACTAGTATCATCATTCAAGGCATTTTGTGATAAAACTTCACACTTATTAGATTTTATAGAAAGGTTAAGTTAGGGACAATATCAATGTTGCTAGTAGTGAGCAGCAGAATCCAGACCACATCATACGTAATGAATTATTACTGAATGAATTAGTTAACAATTAGAGAGAGGAAAATAGCATTTATGATATTAATATACATGATACATCCTCGCTAGCCTGAATCATTGGGCAAAACTTTTGTTGTTGGTGTGGTGTGGCGGGGGATATATATGTATGTACCTTTGAACTCCTCATTCAATACTTGAGCGCACTTTTAAAGTTAACAATATAAAATTTTAATGGGAGAGGATCTCTTCCTAGTCTTCTTTCATATCATCCGTCCTTTTTGTTGGAATGATAATGACAATGGGAATACAATTGATGAGATGATGATTCTTCCACAACCTTAAATCCTTTGATGGCCCCCTCCAAGTATATCATATCACCAACCTTTTGGTCTAGAAAATTCTTGAGCTCTAGTATTATTGGTTGGTATAGCTGCAGTTCCCCCTTGATATATATGTAGGTCTGTACAGCTTCTCTATTGGTTTGCAAAGCTTCTTGTTGTTTTAATCTTATTGTATTTTATCATAAAAAGTTCTCCTATCTTCAGCTATTTCAGGCCCAATCGAATTAGAACTTCTGACCAGTTTTTAAGAACTCATTTGGATTAAAGAGTAATTTTGTTGCTAAAAATATAAATTAGTTAATGTGCATGCATTTGCATGATGTAACCTGCTCCATATTTTTCCTTTAAAATAGAAAAGTCGTTACGACTTTTATAGAAAGCAAAGTTTTTATATATAGTAGATAATAGATGAGCCTCAAAGTGGAAGTTACAAGCAAAAGTCGACCCCAATGCTGTCATTTCAATTCGTTAAACCGCATGTTAGAAGATAATTAAAAACTGACTTTTAATACTTTTTCCAACAACCATAAAAAGTAAAAGAAAAAAGCAGCTCATGAACTTGCCAATCGCATGCCTTGCAATACTAATAGTAACACAGGCGAGACACGCATGTCCTCCTTTGTTCAAAATATAAGTAGATCTAGAGTTTGTATTTGATGCAAATGAAATTGCATGTATGTCTCTCCTCTTCGATGCACAAAATGCAGCAGCTAGCAATACAGTCAAGACACGCATGCGACAACAGATTTTTTGTGTCCATACTATTAAAGTTTTAGTGTCGTATGTTTTAGACTTGCCATGATCGTGACATGCCATGGATATATGTTAATGACGTAAACAAATTTATACATATATATATATATGTGTGTGATAAAATCCATATCCTTATCATCAGGTATATTAAATTAGCATCTCCTACATGTTAATCCTAATCGCAAGAATGTTTGAATACGTAATTAAGTGAAAAAGGGAAGCTTATTATAGAGTGTCAGCGATGAATTAGGACATGGCAAGCTGTATTGTTATGTTGATATAAGGAAACCTAAATAAAAGGGAATGGGATGTGGGCTGATAGCTAAAATGAGTTGTTCATGGCACATGGGCTACAAAATATGTTTCACATCATTATTCATATTCATGTATATATATACTCTCTCTCTCTCTCGATGGTACACTGACTTAGCATATATAGGTTTGGAAACTGGAAAATGGAGAGTCTGCCTTCCCTGCCTATACAAGAAAAGGGTTTTGATTGGCAGCTGAGGTACTCTTGTTACAAGACATAGAAAAAAACAAATTAATTGATTGGGTAGTCCACTTCCGATGAACTGTGCAACACCAGCAAGATATTAATTTATAAGCGTGAGGAGTACTCAAGCAAAGTATGTCGTACATGACAAACAAGAAGATTTAAAATTCGATTTAAAAATATATATATCAAAATCAAGTCTACTCCTCGAATATTATTAAAGTGAATAATGCTTCAACATTAGTTCAAAAGCTCAAGTTAAATTATTGGGCCTTCAATTGTCAATGAATGACAGCCAATCATAAGATAAAGCCCTAAAGTCGGTGGCAAATGCGTCCACTCCTTTACACCCTCTTTAATCTTTATACATGCATGTTGCGTCGTAACTCTTGGCTTTATTCCCAGCATGCAAATTACAAGTACCCCCACAGATGAGTCAGTGGCCTTTTCCAGATTTGCACCTGAGTAAGTTCCACGTTGCACCCATAACGTAGACACTGATGAATGTGGAAATAAAGACAGACCAACGTGGGTTATTAGTTCTCCGAAAAGACCTAAAAACTCAGGTTCAGTCCATCAGTTTGTTTTGACACTACGTTATATTTTAGATAAACGACTAAGAAGTTCACCAACAGCAACATCGACATTATCGACAACTTAATCACTTACAAAGTTCATTATTAACAACATCGGCATTAATATCGATTCATATATTTTTCAAATGATTGAGAATGAGTTCCACAAGGATAGAACTCTGATTAATTGAATATGTACTCCGTACGGGCGGTTCTCTCATTTTCTTGCGACTTCTTCGTAGCTGTAACTTTATTAATGATATTAGTCACTTCATCGATTGATAAGATGGAGCATGTTGAATTGCGTCATCAGTCTTTGACCGGGTTCACTATCCTCCTTGTTTGTTTCCCTCTGCACTTGACTACTCTCAGGCTCATGGGCGTGCGTTTGTATTCCAAGTACATCAAAAAATTTGTTAAAAAAGAAAGTGCTGCCAAAAAAAAAACTTCGTGTTTCTCCAAATAATCTAAAAGCCCTTTTTATCATAAGAAACTTTTTATGTTATACTCAAAGTGATTTGGGACTATTTTAGGCCCCGTGACAAGAAATAAAATTTTCATTAAACATGAAAGAAATAGTGAAACTGCAAAATTAAAAGAATAAATATATGAAAAGATTTCATTCAACGATCACTTTAGCATAATCTTTTGCGGAAAATGAATTATTAGGAGAACTGTGTTTTTGTATAACCCAACAATATAAGTAGGTTTTATCTTTATTAAAGAGACGATATACAATGTGATACAATAATGCAATCTCCTTTACCTGTTTAACCATTGTATGCTTTGGTGCTGGCCATTGGCTTTTTTGTTTTCCTTCTTTGCATCAACAACCAATATAGGTTCATATATATGAGTAGAAAAAAGCCAATGATATGCGCGGGCGAGTACTAATGAATACCTAAAATTTGGTTATTTTTGCTACAATAAAAATCATCATGAACATATTTTTTTATTTTAGAGACAGGTAGTAACGTTATTTATTGAAGGAAAACAAGTCAACGAGTGCTTGTGGTGTATTCTCTTGGCTGTCATGAGCTCCCCTTCGTATATTCATGAACCACCACAGTGTTTAATATAATTGAAGCGCCAGTAGTATCTGTCTTGTATTTTAATCATTGCAATTTTTATAAATCACAACAATCTTTCTCAAATGCCCACATTTAAAATAAACATTGCCACCATCGAAATATACTCTTATCTTAAGTTTCTTAAACCCAAGAAAAATACACCGAATTGCAATTTTCTATTTATTATTAAAACCGGTGAGTTCATGAGAGAGAGTTGTGTAGTGTTCCATGAAAAATGGGTAAAATATTATTGTTTATCATTGTTTTTGGAACAAAGAGCAACATTATTTTAGTGGGTCCAAGTATAGTCTAAAATATGGAGGATATTATCGTTTTTTCGGGTCTAGGATATTTTAGAACATATCCATACACATATAGATATTGTAAAATATCGACATCAATAATTTCTCACACAGTTCAACAACATTTGGCCAAAATATTGCAATAATATCGATAAATATAAAAAATATCACTAAATAGACAACTTCAATCAATCTCAGATCTATATGAGTGACATGTTAACAACTATATGCAAAATTATTTTGAGGATTTATCATTTGATGACTACTTTTCACAATATACTTATTCTACACATAGAGATGATGAAAACAATAAAAAAATTGGAGCTTTATGTGGTACTAAGTCACTCATGTATCTTACCATGCAATGTATAAAGTGTAAAATATTGTAGTAAATCATTATAAATAAATAATTATGGTGTGTTTAATCTTCTTTCATTAATTACATATTTTCTACACTCGCTTTGTTTGTCAACTCGTTATATAATGAACTTAAATTAGTTAAACCCATCATGCAAAACATTTCCTTCCATTTTTTTGTAATAAACTAATAGATAATTGACTAAATAAACATCCTCCAAAGTTTTAATAAATTTTTTCAAGTTTTTTTTTACAATTTTCATGATTTTTATTCAATTTTTACTGATATCAATAGTTTCCTCATATTTTCATAAAAAATTTCATGTTTTTAGACCACCGATATGTCCAAAACCATTGATATTTTAGACTATGGTTCCAAGATGGTGTTGGGGAGGAGCTGAGGTGTCACATAAAATAAATAGAAAAATTAACGAGGGAGATTTACTGTAACACTCTTCTCTCCTCTCCTAGGAAAATGGCAAAATGGAAAATGGCAAAGGCAATGACAGTGAGATTCACTCCATTATTCCCTTCTGACCCGCAATGCTGTCTGCATCAAATCTGCCCTTCCCCTTTTATTTTCCAACCCCCTTTTGAATCTCCCTTTATATATTTACAGTACACCTCCCAAACCAAACCACAACCCACTTCAAATTTAAGCTTTCCCTTGGCCTGCATGCTCTCAGTTTCCCTTCCAAATTACCACTGCTGCTGACTTTGTTTTGCTCTGTTCCAAAAAACCCTTCAATTTGCTCTTTCTTGTGCTGAGTCTCTACATTACATTGTTTCAATTTTCTAGAAATTCCCAGATCATGTAGTTTAGGTGGTTTAGTTCTTACTTGGGTTGCCACTTCTTCAAATTGTGGCAATCTCTTGCACCCAGCAGCTTACTGCAAACTACTAGCAACACCCATTAGGGCCCGGGCAGGGTACAGCAGAGCAAAGTGTTGTTCTTAAGAGAAGGAAGCATGGAAGAGACATTTGTGCCTTTCCAGGGAATCAAGAATGATCTCAGAGGAAGGTTGCTGTGCTACAAGCAAGATTGGACTGGTGGCTTCAAAGCAGGATTCAGGTATATACTATGTACCCATTTCATCATCTACCTTTTTTTTTATAAAACAATTAGCTCTTTGATTCAATATATGTAACCATATACCCAAAAAATAAATAAGTTCGTTCCCTTTATTTTGATAAATTGCAAACTTGATATCTTGGTGACAAATTGTTGATATTGTTTTTTGCAGGATTTTGGCTCCAACCACTTACATATTTTTTGCTTCAGCAATCCCAGTCATTTCATTTGGCGAGCAGCTGGAGCGAAATACTGGTAATTGCAACTCACGAATTCCTCTCATATTAGATCTGCAACCCACACTTCTTTTTAACTTGAAAGGCACTGAGATATAATGTTTCTTATATTAAGTCTGTAAAGGTCACAGCTTTCTAGCTAGTTTCTTTGGATTTTACCTGAATGGAGCCTTTCAATCACCCCTATGGATTTTAGCATCTTATTTTTGGTTATGCAAAAGAAAAGGCAGGAAACTAAGGGATATTCAAAAGAGAAAGAAATACTATAATAAAATAACCAAGATATACTTTTTTATGAGAGGGATTGGCTGGCACGTGAATTTTCAATTGAATTATTGTATGACATTAAACTAGTTAGTTAATTAGCAAAACTATTAATTAAATTACTATGCTGCAGATGGAGTTTTGACAGCAGTGCAAACCTTAGTTTCTACGGCAGTTTGTGGGATCATACACTCCATCATAGGAGGTCAACCCTTGCTGATTTTAGGTGTGGCCGAGCCTACTGTAATTATGTACACCTTCATGTTCAATTTTGCCAAAGAACGAGCAGACTTGGGTCCAAAGCTCTTTCTAGCATGGAGTGGATGGTGAGCCAGCCATCATTACTTTTCTATTCTAAGAGAAACTACATACTCAATTTCGCTTTCGCATCGTCTTTTTCGATAAATTTGCCTTGTGTGTGTATTGTCTTTTGAAATTAATTAATTGTTTGACTCTGAGCCTCATTTTCTGATGAATGTTTAATTTTGTAGGGTATGCGTGTGGACAGCTGCCTTGCTGTTCTTATTGGCTATATTGGGCGCTTGTTCCATAATCAATAGGTTCACCCGAGTAGCCGGAGAGTTGTTTGGTTTACTTATTGCTATGCTCTTCATGCAGCAAGCCATTAAAGTAAGAATTATTTTAAACTAATTACGTCTTCTACAGAATTATTTTAAACTAATTATGTCTTCTACCCACTAATTATTTAAAGTTTGGTACATGAACCTTAGAATATTAGGAGTGTCACTCCATTGTTTGGTTGGCAGGGATATAGTAAGGAAATTAGTGGATATCATATTTTTCAGTTCTCCCCACTTTACCCTCTTAACTCTTTTCCACCTCCAATTCTTATTTTAATTCCAGTTATGAGTGTTAAGAGTTTAGGCTTAAAAAATTAATAATAATATAGAAAATAAAAATGAGCAATTTGATCATGGCCTCTATTTTTTCTGGTATGATTTTGTAGGGACTTGTGGATGAGTTTCGCTTACCGCAAAGAGAAGATACTAGTTTACCACAATTTGTACCTTCATGGAGGTTTGCAAATGGGATGTTTGCTTTGGTCTTGTCATTTGGCCTTCTTCTCACTGCATTGAAAAGTAGGAAAGCAAGGTCATGGCGCTATGGCTCTGGTAAGATAAATATAATAAATTAAGTTTGCATCTCCCTTGGTAATTATGGTGACTAATAGAATCTTGTTTCATTTTGTGTATGTAATGTGAACTTCTTTCTGGGCTGCAGGTTGGCTTAGAGGCTTTGTAGCAGACTATGGTGTGCCACTTATGGTTCTAGTGTGGACTGGTGTATCTTACATACCAACTAGTACCGTTCCACATGGAATCCCAAGGCGCCTTTTTAGCCCAAACCCATGGTCACCTGGTGCATATGATAATTGGACTGTCATTAAGGTATGTCTTCATGATTGAATTCTGTTTTAGTTTTGGTTACTCACTATTAAGTACATTTTGTCTGTAAATTCACAAGTTAAATTAAGCTGATCGTCTTACTGGTTTATACTTGATATTAACTCACAGGACATGCTCAATGTTCCCATCCTCTATATCATTGGAGCTTTCATTCCAGCAACAATGATCGCGGTGCTTTACTATTTTGATCACAGTGTAGCATCCCAACTATCTCAGCAGAAAGAGTTCAATTTAAGAAAACCATCTTCTTACCATTATGACTTGCTTCTTTTGGGGTTTCTGGTATGCAAAGCCAAATTGCTCTTTCCTTACTTTCAGTTTTCCTTTCAGTAAGCAATTGTGCATAACTCTCTTGCTTTTTTAATTCTCGCAGACTTTAATGTGTGGTCTGCTCGGAATTCCTCCATCAAATGGAGTCATCCCACAGTCACCAATGCATACAAAGAGTTTGGCTACTCTCAAACATCAAGTAATCACATAACCTTCCTTTTTTTCTTTATTTTTATTTTTATTTTTCCCTTGTAGATCCTTCTTTTTTTTCTCTGGTGACTTGTGCTTTTGCTGATAAGAATGAAATTGTTTGTGCAGTTGCTTCGTAATCGACTTGTAGCAACAGCACGCAAAAGTATGAGAAAGAATGCTAGCTTGGGACAGCTGTATGGAAATATGCAAGAAGCCTATCGACAAATGCAGACGCCTTTGATTTACCAAGAGGCCTCAGCTCGGGTATAACAGCATTATATGTTTGGCTTTAAATTTTTTAGAAGTTTTGAAGACATTATCAACCAGGTAATCCTTGTGATCTAAATCAAACATTTGTGTATAACCACTTGTGCAGGGACTGAATGAATTAAAAGAATCGACCATTCAGGCAGCTTCAAGTATGGGAAATTATATTGATGCGCCAGTTGACGAGACAGTGTTTGACGTCGAGAAAGAGATTGATGATCTATTGCCGGTTGAGGTGAAAGAACAGCGTCTTAGTAACTTGCTTCAAGCTATACTGGTGGGAGGATGTGTTGCAGCTATGCCCATCCTAAAAAAGATCCCAACTTCAGTCCTTTGGGGCTACTTTGCCTTCATGGCCATTGAAAGCTTACCCGGTAACCAATTTTGGGAAAGGATCTTATTGCTGTTTACTGCTCCAAGTAGAAGATACAAGTAAACCCTCAAATCAAATCTTCTTTCACTTGTTTCATACATGTTTAATTTTCCTTCCTCTTCATGCTTAACATAAATTGCTTTTCATCATCCTGCAGAGTCCTCGAGGAGTATCATGCCACTTTTGTAGAAACTGTGCCTTTCAAGTCAATCGCGCTGTTTACAGTTTTCCAAACTCTGTACTTGCTTGTATGTTTTGGGCTTACTTGGGTTCCAATTGCTGGGGTTATGTTTCCATTGATGATCATGCTCTTGGTTCCTGTAAGACAATACGTTCTGCCCAAGTTTTTCAAAGGAGCACATCTTCAAGACTTGGATGCAGCAGAGTATGAAGAGGCTCCTGCTTTACCATTTAACCTTGCAACGGTAAAAGACACTTTCATTCTTTGCATATTCACGTCTGGGCAACATAACATGATAGATTGTCTGATGAGAAATTTTCTTAATCTTAGATATGGATTTTAACGGTTGAAAGTTAACTCATTCATTTTGTGTTTGATGTGCTCCAAAATAACAGGAGGCAGAGCTGGGAGCTGGAGCATCCTATGCAGGGGATGCAGAGATATTAGATGAGGTTATGACCAGAAGCCGAGGTGAGTTTAGACATGTTAGCAGTCCAAGGATCACAAGCTCTACTTCAACACCAGGAAATGCCCCTAAAATCCTCGAGAGCCCACATTCCTTCAGTCCTCGTGTGAACGAGCTAAGAGGAGAACGAAGTCCTCGTTCTGGTGGAAGAGGGCCAAACAGTCCAAGGACACCCGGATCTTCTTCAATTCTGGGCAAGAGTCCTAGTAACAACACAACATCATGATACCTGTGTATTTCGGCAAACCTTTAATTAAGAAGTTATAGACTGCTTTGATCACCATTTTCATTCCACCGGTTTGCTTTGTTTTCTTTAGTTTGGCTTCTTTGTAAAAAAAGGTTTTCCTTTTGCTTTCCCAGGTGGGAATCGTAATCATAGCACATTAGCATTGTGTTTATTTCTTGTAACATTAATTATACCAGTGAATGTCTTCGATCTGACTCATGTACGTTCCTCCCTCATCAATCGAAAATGCCATAATTTATTTGTTTCTTTCACTTGCCTCATACACACGAACAATGGGTGATGCATGTGTGATCAAACCTCCACTTCCTATACGTATGTACTTGTATTTGAAAATATACAAATCTGCTCTGTTTGAAGTTGAACTACATATGCCACAGCATTCTTCTTGCCTCTAGGGAGTGTTAGGAAGAATCACACAATGCTTCTAAATCGCATATTCTCAGCGAATCATCGTCGCCATTTAAATGTTGGGGTTCACGTTGATCTCGTTTGGTTTTCTTTTGCTTACTCCTTTTTTGAGTTGTGCAAACGAATTGGACTGAGGGCATATAAGAAAAAGATCATGCGGTGGCATGGTCTCTGTTTCTTTGGTAGATAGAAACACATGATATATCTGGAATTTAACGCAATTGGTTTGGGTGGGAGAGAATAAATATTCGAATGTTTAAATATTTCAATTTATTATATTTGAAGGGTATCGCCGCCCGGCTATACTCTTTAAATATATTCGAATTTATTATATGTAACAAGTATAGCCGAGCGGCTATAATATTTAAAATATTCGAATTTATTACATTTAAGAGTATAGCCGCACGGCTATACTATTTAAATATTCGAATTTATTATATTCAAAGAGTATAGCCGTGAGGCTATACGATTTAAATATTCGAATTTATTTATAGCCGCGCGGCTATACTATTTAAATATTCACCCACGGACAAATCCTTACATTACTCACTCTTGGCAGCCCCTTGACCAAAAATTCCAGTTTCCCACCAGCAGTTTCCAATATAAACTTTCTTACGTGTTTTTTTTTTGGTTTGGCTGAGAGCTCCACCTTCAATTCATTTCACACCACAGTTCACCCCTTAATATCCTCTCTCTCTCTCTCTCTCTCTCTCTCTCTCTCTCTCTCTCTACCACATAATCTTATTCCATGTTCAGTTTGTGATAGGAAGAAAGTTTCATCGATTTGCCTTTGTCTCTCATAGTAATGGGAAACCTTCATGACCCACCCTCTCTCATAATTATTATTAGGTATAAGATTTTAAGTTGAATTTCGAATATATGCCATTACTTGCAAAATATTTGAATTTATTATATACTCTTTAAATATTCGAATTTATATAATCATTTTAATTGGTATTATCACCGAGCTAATCTGTTCCTTGAAATAGTTTGGAACTTACCTGTCAACTCAAAGAAAAAGTAGAGGCCAAAAATGGAAAAATCCATTCAATGGAAAGACTCTGGAGAAATACAAAGCACGATGATGAACTGAAAATCTTTATATTATATTTCAATAGTATTGCCGTGCGGCTATACTATGGTTTTAATAAATAAAAAATAGTATAGCCGCACGGCTATACGTTTTTGACATGTGGACATCTAATTGCTGGGTGGGTCCTCTTTTTTTTATTTTTTATTTATAAATAGTATAGCCACCTAGCTATATTGGGGTTTTTTAAAAAGAAAAAAGAAATAGTATAGCCAAACGACCTTACTAGGATCCTTTTAAAATAATTTTTTAAATAAATAGTATAGCTGTTCGGCTATACGCTTTATATGTATAATGAGATTCTTTAAATAAATAAATAAAAATTCCATGATTTTCGTTTATCAATAAGAGTAGTTTATATAATTACATACTCTTTGTATGTATACCAGCAACCATATTGGCTTCACTATCAATATGATGAATAGAAATTTGATCAAATCAAAATGCAAGAACAAGTGCTAAGGACTCGTTTGAGAGTGCTTCTTCTCGAAGTGCTTATGCCAGTAGCACTTATGCCAGTGGCGCTTATGACAAAAGTGCTTCTACAACGAAGCAGTTTGTCGTTTGGATGTCACAATTAAAAGTGCTTTTACACTACATAAAAGCGCTTTTGATATTTTGTTGAGTATTTGACTGACATGGGTATTTTGGCATTTAAAAATAAATAAATAAATATGGGTATTTAAAAGTTTCATTAAAGGGAGCCAAGTGCTTCTCGTGTTTTTGTCCTGCAGCGCTTTTAAGAATAAGCACCTCTCAAGTGCTTCTTCCAAAATCACTCAAGGTGCTTTTGGATATCACCCAAAGCGCTTTTGCAATTTTTGTCAAACATCATTTTTAAAAAACAGAAGCGCTTTCACCTATTTAGAAGCGCTTTTCGCTGCTCCAAAAGTACTCCCAAACAAGCGCTAAATGTGTCAAGTTATACCTAAACCGCTTTTGACCCAAAAAGCAATACCTAAAGAGTAGTGCTAGGCATACCTATTAAAGAGATGATACACAATGTAGCATATAGACGTGGGCATTTTTGTAATATTATAGGCCCAATTGGTATGGGTGGGTGGGTTTCAGAAGTGAAGTAAGAGAATAAAAACAGAACCCAATTGCTCTTGTCATCGTTGATACATAACAACATCTTATCTTTTGTACCTACATTTATTGACTAGAGCCAATTTAGTTTCTTGTCCTTGGAGTGAGTCAATATTTGGCAACTCAACAATCTTATCTTTTGCATCATAGAGATATTGTGTCAAATTAATTAGAGCAAAGCATATTTGTAATCGTAATCAAACTGATTTTTCTGCATCAACTGCTTCTTCGACAATATATATGTTACACCCAATGAACAGTTACAGAGACAGCCTGAGATCTAAATTATTACCTTGTTTACAAATTTCTGTGTTACAGCAGCCTCTGCTTTGAGCATTATTAGTAGTACTAATCCCAGATATCACATGTAGGATTTTGAACTCATGACGAGCCTCTTCTTCAATTAAATCTTCAGGTTGAAATGATGGCTTCCAAACGTCAGCTATGACCTTCTCTTCCTCTTCCTCCACTTTTTTCTTCTATTTCTTGTTTGATCTGTTGTCATTAATTTCTTCCCGTTTCAATATTACATTCGAACCATTCATCAATCGGTGACGAGCGTCCCGGATGTTGTTGATAAGAGCAAAGAACTTCTCAATCTTCTCTTCTTCATCATCAGCTTCAGCAGCATCAGCAGCATCAACGTCATTGCTAATGATCATCTTCCTCTTCTTGCTGTCATGGGTCTCCATGTGATACTCGTTTGGAGAGGGCCAAACCAAAAGAAAGGGCAGTTTAAGTAAGAAAGGTACACAGAATTATTAAAATTTGCTGTTAATCAATTTATGGGTTGCTTCCACGCTCCTTCGTGGCTTGGCAGAGACCCCGTGATACCATATATGTCGGGTCAAGTTGATGATGTCAAGGTTGTATCATTATTATTCGTTTCTTTCACGGGACCCAAATGCCACCCTTGCCTAGTTCCATCTAAAAAATAAAAAGATGTTCACGCGTGTGAAATGAGTTTAGATCATGAATTAAGATCTTGTCATAAATGGTAACGTTTTAAAGTTAAAGATGGGGTAAGGGTCCGGATATGGAGTATTAGGGGTGGTTGCGGTTCGGTAACCGCGAATTTTTGCCCAAACCGCAAACCGACCGACTATTTGCGGTATGGTGATTTTAGAAACCGCAAACCGACCGCTTTTTTCGATTTACCACATTGCCGTAAACCGTAAAAATATGTCGTTTACCGTGAATTAATGGTTTAAAACTGCAAGTTTTTTTTTGTGTCATAAAAATCCAATCTTCCACATTTTATGCCTAATTTTGATGTTTTTTTTTTAAGCCTTTTGATTTCAAGCATACTTTAACCCAAAAATATAAATTTACAACTTAAATAAATAAATTCACAACCTTAACTTCTCAAACATATACAAATTCACAACCTCCTCAACTTATTAAGCATTCACAACCTAAATAAAATTAAAGTTACAATTTCAAGCATTCCAATTAAAGTTAAAGTTCTCAAGCATTCACAACCTCAACTTCTCAAGTATTTCAATTCCAAATCCTTTAAAGTTACAAATCAAAAGGAAAATGCAATGCAAAATGAATTAAAGTTACAACCTAAAGGAAAAATCCAATTCAAAGTTAATTAAAGTTACAAACTAAAAGGAAAATGCAATGCACCAATGTTACAAATTAAAGTTACAAACTCAAGTATTGGTGTTGGTGAGTGAATATGAAGGACCCTGTTGTGTTGTTTGAGCATCAATGTTATCTATAAAATGAAAATTTATTTATTTATTTAATAAATATAGTCACGGTTTGCGATAAACACAAGTTTTGAAAATCAAATACCGTAACCGCAATCTCAAATACGGTTCGGTTCTTCATACTGCATATGCGGTTCGGTTTTTTATAATTATAGTAAATTGTCGGTTGATTTTTACGATTTTGTAATTTTTCGATCTAAAATGCCACCCATGTGGAG